TGGTAGAATTTGTTTTCTTCTTATGGCTGAATAATATCCCATTGTGTATATGGACCACATCTTCTTTATCCATTCATCTACTGATGGACACTTGGGTTGCTTCCATTTCTTGGCTGTTGTAAATAGTGCTCAATAAACATAGGAGTGCATCTGTCTTTTTCAAACTGGGCTGCAGTATTCTTAGGGTAAATTCCTAGAAGTGGAATTCCTGGGACAAATGGTATTTCTATTTTGAGTATTTTGAGGAACCTCCATACTGCTTTCCACAATGGTTGAACTAATTTACATTCCCACCAGCAGTGTAGGAGGGTTCCCCTTTCTCCGCAACCTTGCCAGCATTTGTTGTTGTTTGTCTTTTGGATGGTGGTGATCCTTACTGGTGTGAGGTGATATCTCATTGTGGTTTTAATTTGCATTTCTCTGATGACTAGCGATGTGGTGCATCTTTTCGTGTGTCTGTTGGCCATCTGAATTTCTTCTTTGGAGAACCTCAACAAACAAAAAGCAAATAATCCAATTAAAAAATATACTTGCCTTTTTATTTACTTTTCTTAATCCTTGCAATCATGAATTTGAAATGTTATTTATACCTTTCTAATTATATTAAAAGAGATACATGGCTATCCTAATACAGAACGTTCATCCATGCACCACCGGACATCATCTTACACCCCACTCATGCGGTGCACATGGAGCTTGGAGAAAGAGTGGCCAGATGGTCACAGTGGATTAGTTTGTAGCTTGACCTAATTTTATATAGCACATTTTTGGGGGTTGGGCCTGAAGCCTCAGGACTCTCATTTTTAAGTAACCTTGTATTCAGCAGAATTCACAAGCTGGAAGGGTCTCACCAGGATACTTTTCCAGATAGAGGTCAGATGGCACAGGCAGCTATTATTGTCTCTTTATATGTGTGAGATCCCCTCGATTTGCTTTTGGCTGGGTTACTGCTTATGTGCTAGTTATCTTTGCTCCAGTCTGTGTCCAAAGACTTCTGGCCATCTCCCAGTTATGTGGCAGTATTCACAAGGAATATGTGACCCTGAAAATGTGGGAGGGATGAGAGAGCAAATACTAGCCTCAGTTAAATAATTGGCTCAACGCACATATTGCGTTAATAGTTGGCTGGGAGTCAGAATTATGACAGAGTATGGCAGAATCACAGATGCTTTCTCCCCAACACCCACTGAGCCAAAATCAGTTTTAACAGCCAAAAAGCAGTTAAAAACAAAAACATTTACCACCAGCAACCAACAAAAATCAATCACAGCTTTATGGCATGCTTTTTGAAAAGTGTCAGGCAAGGAAGGAAACACCCTGCTCTGACCTCTCCACAGCAATACTGGGAAAGGAAGGGAAGGGGACAAAATCCTGAGGATTCTTATTAATTCAGAGTGGCACAGAAAGCAGCTATGTGAGGAGGTGAGCAAATACCTCAGCAAAGGTCAGGAAACCCCTCAGCAGAGGCAGGAAGGCAACCCAGAGCAGGCCATCTCCCAGTTGCTGTGCTGAGTGACAGGAAAGAAACTGGAGGGGTGGGTGTGCCCTGACTTGGCAGGGGTGTTCTGGTGTAAGACATTTAATTGGCTTCTAAAAAGAGGGCCCTGCGTGTGACCCCCAGCCATGGCAGGCGTGGTGGTCCTGCCTCTGCTCTGTGGCAGAACACTTCATGGAAAGCTAACCTCCAATTCTAACTGAGAGGGAGAAAGACAACTGGTCCCCTATAAAGTGAGCGGAGTGTCCCAGTTACATCAGCTTGTAAGCAAGCACACAGCAGCTCTGGACAGAGATGCTCCTGTGAAGGAGGAGCAAGGTGAAGGGAAGTGTCATGACAACTAGGCAAAATTGCTACTGCACAGGGTGATAGAAGGGAACACACAACCCATCTGGTCAGAGACAAACCCATCCAAGAAACCTCAGCCTCACAGGAATTTCTCACTATGGAAGAGCTCAGTGTCGATTCAGGAGAAATAAAATCTCAATGTAGTTATGACAAGACAACAATGAGATTCTTCTTAATTTGTATTCTTAATTATGGTAAAAAATATATATGTGCCATAAAATTTGCCATCTTTTCCATTTTTAAGTGCATAGTTCAGTAGTAGGTACTTTCACTTTGTGCAGCCAGCCTCCAGAGCCCTTTTCTTCTTCCAAAACTGAAACTATAACCCTTTAACAATAACTCCTCTTTCCCCTTCCCCCTGGCAACTATGATTCCTCTGTCTGACTCAATGATTTTGACTACTTTAGGGACCTTGTCTGAGTGGAGTCCCAGATTATTTGTCCTTTTGTGATTGGCTTCTTTCCCTTAACATAACTTCTTCAAGGTTCATCCATGTTTTGGCATGGGGCAGAATTTTTTTCCTTTTAAAGGCTGAATAATATTCTAATGTATGATATACCACCTTCTGTTTATGTATTCATCCCTTGATGCACACTTGGGTTGCTTCTACTTTTTGGCTATTGTGAACAGTGCTGCTATGAACATGGATGTACAAATATCTCCTTCAGTCACTGCGTTCAATTCACTTAGCCATATAGCCCAGAGGTAGAATTGCTGTATCATGTGCTAACTCTATTTTTAACTTTTTGAGGAAATGCCATCCTGTTTTGTATAGCAACTGTAACATTTTGCATTCCCACCCATAATGGGGTATGTCAGACCAACATTCTCTACTGTAAAATATGAGTAAGATCTACAAACTTGTAAAAGGAATAAATTATTTTTATAATTTAAAGGCATAATGTTAAAATAATAAAATATGAAATTATTTTTATAAATAATATTACTCAACAGTGAGGGCAGACAGTCTTGATCTGAAAGAACTCAAGGAATATAGTAACCATAAACATTTCTTGAAAAAAAAAAATCACTTTATGATGAAATTTACCCAAATAACCCAAATCAAAATAACAGTCTCAGGAGAAGAAAAGCCATGGTTAAAAAACAGTAACAATAAAAAAACACTAATGAACATTCAAACCATTATAATATAGTTTTAGACTTAAACAACTGGAGAGAATTATTGTTACAGAGCATGTGTTATACACTGAAAAAATTAAAATGATACAAGCAACAAAAATTGAGAGATGTGAGGAAAGGGAGACAAAATATAAAATACTCAAATTTAAATAAATTGTACAGCACTAATGTGACAACATGGAGTGTACCTCTTAAATTTTCATAATTTTTTTCCTCAGTGTTAATCTTCTGTGCATGTGTGTTGGTGTTTTTTAAGTATTTAACTGCAGGCTGGAAAGCCATGTAGTTTGACTTCTGTTTTTTTTTCTTCTATTATATAGTCAAGTAAAATTAAATAACTCTTACTAGAAAAAAGCCTGCTATATACCTTCTAACGTATATATACATAAAGAGATGCCCAGAACGATATTCACCAACTGTAAATACAATGGTGGGATACTGGATGATTCATTTTCTTCTTTGTACTTTTCTGTGTTCCTTGAATTTTTTAATGAGCCCCTATTTTTGTAGAAGCACCCATATTTTTATAAAAGCCATACAATTATCACTGTTAATATAAAATATTGCTCTGTGTATCATCATTATTCTAACTGCTTCTTAGTCATTAGAAAAAAAATGAACACCAGAGAGTCCATGACAGTGGTTTTGCAACTCATGCCTAAGGTGTTAGTAATCCCTAGAAGCCGAAGATGTGTGCAGTGGAAAGCATCAGCTGTTTTAATAGGATGGTTTTTGCATTTTTAATGATTTCAGAAATCAAAACAGTGAGCTGGTGAGTGTGAGGTAGGATTGACCCGAATTCTGGTGTTGCTGGTGACAGAAAGGGCAGTACAACATGCTATTGTATAGATGTCTGAACCAGGAGTATGAAAACCTCACTTCTAGTGCTGGCCTAACCAGGAACCAGCACTAATTTTGGATGTTTGGAGTCCTTCTCAATCTCTGAACTTTGCTGCAGTGAACTTTCTCTTCCTTGAATGCACCATGTTCCCCTGCCTCAGGATCTTTGCATAGGCAGTTCCTCCTGCACAAAGCACACTTCTTTTCCTTTGCCTCTCTGGGCTCCTTCGTCTTGTGCCAAGGCTTAGCTTTAATCTCTTTCCTCTGGAAGGCATTCCATGTACTATGGCACTTTTCACTGGATGTGCTTGGCATACCTGTTGTAGTCACTCGCTCAATGTCAGACTTCCTCAGCAGATGGGCCTCGGGGACTTTGGAGTCCAATTTAGGAAGTGCAAGATCAGGTTCCCTCATTGCCCCCCTGCAGCACATGCACATGCTTTCTCTTCCACTCTGGGCTCTGCCAGGATGCTAACTCTCGTCCTGTGGCCTCTGCTGAACAATGAACACAGCTCTCCTCTCTTCCTGCTGCCTCATGGCCTCTAAGTTTTATTTTTTTCTCAGCAGGCCTCTTAGCTTCTGCTTCTATTAGAAACTGACTTTTCTTGATAATTAATGTTCAGTTTTTCTAGGAGAGAGTAGCTATAGTCTGTTTAGGTCATTACCTTCCAGCACCAGCCATTCCTACAGGAGAGAGTGTCACCCCTGTGCCCACAGGCCACCACTACAGGGAACTGGGGCCTGTGCATGCATTCTTAAATTCCCCCCAAATCCCCTGCCTGGCCTCTCTGGAAGAGAAGGAAGTGAGAAAAGCATGTTATGAAGCCGTACATGCCATGTAATCCTAAATGTATGTTTTATATATAAAAGATTGAAAGGAAATAGATCAAATTATTATCAGTGGGTTTCTCTGGTAGGATTTATCTTATTTAATTTATTTTTATGTTTCTTATTCTTAAGTTTCTTTGTCAAATTTTCTGTAACAAACATTTTCAGATGCTAAATGGTATTCTTAAATCCCTATGTATTGCTTTGTACTGAGCAGCCCCCAAGAAAATTTGGAAAAGCTGGCCCCAGCCATTTGGAAGTGTCGTGTCATTCTTCCTGTGTTTTCCATTTCTGCCCCCATCTAATGTGTTTGCTTGTTCTCTCCCCTTCATGTTTTTCTCCTCCTCAGATGACCAGATAACTGGCATCCCGCCGCACATCCTCAACAGTTCTCCATCGGACCGGCAGATTAACCAGCTGGCCCAGAAGCTGGGCCCTGAGTGGGAGCCCGTGGTGTTGTCTCTGGGACTGTCCCAGACAGATATCTACCGCTGTAAGGCCAACCACCCCCACAACGTGCAGTCACAGATGGTGGAGGCCTTCGTCCGTTGGAGGCAGCGCTACGGGAAGCAGGCCACCTTCCAGAGCTTGCACAGGGGGCTCCAGGCTGTGGAGGCAGACCCCTCAGTGCTCCAGCACATGTTGGAATGATGCTGCCTCCATCAGCCTGCTGGGGAGCACATGCCCAAGTGGCATGTGCCGAATCCTGACTTTCACCCAGGGCAGGTAGTTGTGGGGTTTTATTTTTATTTTTTGGTCTTTTGTTTTCAATGATACTTAGATGAACGGAGAAAATAAGATTTCTACTGGACATTACTTGAAAGGCCAGATTACTCAGTAGGTCTCCCACATTGGCTTGATAATTCATTGTTTTTAGTTCCTTGAAGATTACATTGGTTTAATTGTGTGGTTGCCTTTTAATAAATTGGTAAATCATAGTGGCTCAAAAAAATATACTGTGTTATCACATTACATGCAGGTGTCCAATACATAAAACATCTACTTTCATGTTATCTGGGAACTGAACTGTGAACTTTGCTGTTAATAAGGGTGATAATAAATAGTGAATTACTATATATAATATGATCTACCTATTCATGAGAAAGTATTGTTTGTTTGTTTTTCTTATTTTATTGCATAGATTAAGGGTATAAAATTACAATAGTAATCACTTTGGAACAGAATTGTTAGTAACAGCAAAATTACTTTCTCCAGTTAAGATAAATAGCTCAGGCAGGGTGTCTGAGTCAAATTTAAGATACTAAAGCTCCCTGCAAAGACCAGTTCAAGTACCAGCATGCATTCCTGAGCCCTTCATCTTTAAAAGATTACTTAAGAAAATCCCATGCCATTTATTTAAAGGATTTATTTGTGGGTCAAAGGCAGGTGTGGTCTTTCCACTGAAGCCATAATGATTGAAGGATTGTACTCCTAAGGAGTATGACTAAGTCTTCTGTCTTTTTATTAATAACATGGTATTTATCAAATGCTTTACTGTTTTCAAGGCTTTTCATATACGTGATCTCATTTGGACCTCACAAAAAACCCTGCGAGGTAGTTGGGCAATAGAGGTGAGCCTCCTTCTGTGTCGAGATTGAGTGATTGCCTGGGGCGAGGGAGCCGGAGGGCGTCTTTGGAGCCCTGCTCCTCCGTGCCCTTTCTAGCTGCCCCCTGCTGCTTCTCCTTTCTCTTGTGTGCCTGTTGAACAGGGTGAATCCTGCTCCCCTGTGAGCAGCACTGCCCACGGTAGGTAACTTTGCTTCTCCAAGCCTTTAGGAATGAGGAAACAGTTGTCCCCACCTCCAAGATTTTTGTGATGATTAAAGGAATAATGTCTGCCCAGGGCAGATTTCTAGTGCCCTGGCCCATAGTCAGCACTCAGGAAATGGCCACTGTTCATTTGCTGCTGTGGCTGAACATGGATGCAGTTCACAGACAAAGCTGAATAGTGGCTAATGCTGAGGACTCTGTAGGCAGAAGTTCTGTTACCATGTTTCTTGCTAAGCTTTAAAATGTGATGTGCTTTTATTAACACTACAGTGGGTCCAATCAGTAGGGGGGCAGGTGAACTGTCTCAATCTGTGGTCTGTCCTGAATAATTGGAGACTCTGTTTCCTAACCCTAACCTAAGTCAGGATTTTTCAAAGGTATAAAAATTATACTTTCTACCTCTCTCCATTCCAAGGACCAGTATACAGAGTGGTAGAGTCGAATGTGAAGTGGGTGCTAAAAAAGATGACAGTGATGTGTTGATAACATCCTTTCATATTTCTAGTAATCATATTCTGTTTACTCAAAAAGATCGGTTGCTTCATGGTTGAACAAACAGTTCAGGATGATCTGCTGGCCTTCTCAACTTGAATTTTCCTTTTATATAGCCCAGCCATTAATTCATTACCTTGTAAAATTCTTATAATTTTGGCCCCATCATTGCACCCAGTGACAGACTGTACTTCTATGGCATCCTCACTAAACTGCTTGTCATTTTGAACCTTGGACTTGTTATGTTGCTATTTAGTCCCCCTGGGTTTTGCTAAGAGAGTGTTTCTTTAGCTTTTGTTCTTACCACATTTATGGATGAGTGAGTATAGCCAGGCTCTGCTGCATCCGACTAGATGGCATTTTAGAAGTGGGTCTGATGATTAGTTAGGTCATCTTTAAAGAATCTATCATGCGCAAAGATTTCTGTGTTTTGTCAGGAGTGAAGGAACAGTTTGTGATGCACTTGCCCTTGATGGACTTCCAGGGACCCTTGGTGGACTGCCAGGGCCATTAGAGAGTTCTGACTTGTTGCCTTATAAGCAGGGTGTCTCCACCATCAAATGGCAGCCTCATCATCTAGGTCTGCTCATTTGTTGCAGAAGATTTACAGAATGGAAGAACAGAGCATCCTGATCACTGCCTGCCTCATTTCTACCTCTGGTTGCAAAGAGTGATGACATGGCAGCTGTCTACCTCCCAAGAGAATTAGGAGGTGATGTGCCTACAAGGAGTCCATGTGTTTTTGCATGGGAGAAGATTCTACATATCCAGAGATTAGCTGCCCCCAATAAAATTCTGAGTGAATTCAAAGAGGTGATAGAGCATTTACAGGTGCTGACAAAAAAAAAAAAACCCACAGAAACCCTAAAAAAAGTCTTCGTCCACTTTGGTTTGGGGTGTGTGCATGTGTAAGTATGCTCCCTAACTTTTTCAAAACTATAACTTTTATAAATTTTCTCAGCACTAAAATAGTACATGCTCATCATACCAGTTTGAAAAAATGCCAGTGAGCAAGAGCAAAAAAAAAAAAAAAGAATTACCTCTACTTCCATTTTCCAAAAATAACCACTGTTACACCCCAGTTTTGGTCTCTATCCTCCAGCTACTTCCTATACCTGTATATTCTTTTTATAACAGTAGGACTGTATCAAATCAACTAACTACAATAAGTACTTAAGGGATATGCAAAATAAAAAGATGTTAAATATGATGTCAAAACATAAAACATGGTGGGTTAGAAATATAATGTTCTTAGAATACATTAGAATTTAAGTGACTATCAGCTTAAAATGGGCTGCTGTGTATATAGGATTTATATATGAACCTAATGATATCTAAAAACCACAGTTGATACACAAAAAAGTAAAGAGAAAAGAATTCAAACATAACGCTAAAGAAAAGCATCACATCACAAGAGAATAGACCAAGAAAACAGAGAACTACAAAAACAACCAGAAAACAACAAAATTTCAATAAGTACATACCTATCAATAATAATTTTAAATGTGACTAGACTAAATGCTCCAATCAAAAGATATAGGGTGACTGAATGGATAAAAACAAGACCCATCTGTATGCTGCTTACAGGAAACTCACTTCAGATTTAAAGACACACCCAGACAGAAAGTGATGGAAAAGATATTCCATGAAAATGGAACATAATAAAGTTGGAGTAGCAATACTTACCTCAGGGAAGTAAAGACTGATGCAGAAGACAAAGAAGGGCATTACATAATGATAAAGGAGTTGATTAGAAAAAGAGAATATTTATGCACTCAATATAGGCTCACCTAATATGTAAAACAAATATTAATTGACATAAAGGGAGAAACTGACAGTAGTTAAATAATAGTAGGGAATGAAAGTCCCCACTTACATTAATGGATAAAGTGTCCAGACAGAAAATCAGTAGGAAAACATTGGCCTTAAATGACACTCTAGACCAAATGGACTTTAGTATATGGGTATATGTATATAGATATATAGACTTTATTCCAGGGATGCAAGGAGAGTTCAGCATCCATAAATCAGTAAACATGATATATAGACATTATATATGTAAAATATTTTATCCAAAATTGCAGAATACACATTCTTTTCAAGTACACAAGAAATCCTCTCCAGGATAGATCACATTAGGCTACAAAAAAAGTGTTGATAAATTCAAGAAGACTGAAATCATATCAAGCTTGTTTTCTGACCACAATGGTAAAAAAACAGAAATCAATTACAAGAAGAAAACTGGAAAAAACACAAACACATGGAGCTAAGCAACATGCTACTAAACAACCAGTGGGTCAATGAAGAAATAAAAAAGGAAATGAAAAAATACCTTGATAAAAATGAAAATGAAAATACAACTTTCCAAAATTATGGGAAGTAGCAAAAACAGTTATCAGAAGGAAGTTCATAGTGATACAGGCCTACCTCAAGAAACAAGAAAAATACCCAGTGAGCAACCTAACATTATACCTAAAAGAACTAGAAGAGGAAGAACAGACAAAGCCCAAAATTAGTAGGAAGAAGGAAATAATAAAATTCAGAGTGGAAATAAATTGAAATAGAGACTAAAAGGATAAGATCAATGAACCTAAAAGCTTGTTCTTTGAAAAAATAAACAAAATCATTAACTTCTAGCTAGACTAATCAAGCAAAAATGAGATGGTGCAAATAAATAAAATCAGAAATGAAAGAGAAGTTACAACTGACACCACAGAAATACAAAGGATCTTAAGATTCTATGAAAAATTATATAACAATGAACTGGAAAACTTAGAAGAAATGCATAAGTTCCTAGGAACACATAACCTTCTAAGACAGAATCACAAAGAAATAGAAAATCTGCACAGACCAATTATAAGTAATGGAAATAAATTAGTAATTTTAAAACTCCCAAAATACAAAATCCCAGGACCAGATAGCCTTACAGGTGAATCCTACCAAAAATTTTAAAAGAAGAGTTAGTACCTATTCTTCTCAAACTACTATAAAAAATGAAGAGGAAGGAACACTTCCAAACTTATTTTATGAGGCCAGCATTACTCTGATACCAAAACCAGACAAAGATACCACAAAGAAAGAAAATTATAGGCCAATCTCCCTGATGAACATAGCTGTAAGAATCAACAAAATATTAGCAAACCAAATTCAACAGTACCTTAAAAGGATAAACCACAATCAAGTGGGATTTATTTCAGGGATTCAAGGATAGATCAACATCCATAAATCAATCAACATGATATACCGCATTAACAAAAGGAACTATAAAAATCATCGAATCATCTCAATATATGCAGAAAAAGCCCTTGACAAAATTCAGCACCTATTTATGATAAAAACTCTCAACAAAGTAGGTATAGAAGAGCATACCTCAGTATTAATAAAGGCTGTATATAACAGACTCATATCTAACATGTTCTACAGTGAAAAGCTAAAAGCTTTTCCTCTAAGATCAAGAACAAGACAAGGATGCCCATTCTCACCACTTTTATTCAACATAGTGTTGGAAGTGTCAGCCATAACAATTAGGCAAGGAAAAGAAAAAAAAGTCATCCAAATTGGAAAGGAAAAAAGTAAAATTCTATTTGCAGATGACATGATACTATATATAAAAACCCTAAAGACTCCACCCAAAACTATTAGAAGTAATAAATGAATTCAGTAGTCACAGGTTATA